ACACACAGAAGTGAGTAGTTTGAGTGAGAAGTTGACCACTTGGTGGAACTGTGAAGATGTCTAGGTTGAAAGCGAGCTTGTCCAGGCCTCAGGAAGAGTAGCGTGTTTAGTCCTGAGAAGGGCAGTAGTATGAGCGCATGGCTCAGAGTCTGACGAGAAGGATGCGTGGCTTTAAACTGTAAAACCAGAATGGGAAAATTATGGCCTGATGTCCTGCTAGAAACTTACTCTCGCCTAGAAAACAAGGAGAGTGTGCACATTGCATTGCAACCAAATCTCCTGACCAGCAGAGCTGGAAACAGTGGTGACCAGCTCAAAGATGGCGGCCGTCTGCATAGCTTTAAATGGCAACAAGCCAGTTTCCCACATCAGGCTCCTGAAAGGGTTCTCTATACCTGTTTGGAGTCTCCCATTCTAGCCCTCAGACTTGTAATTTTTTCTATTCCAGTCATTATTGCATTTTGCTCAGTTTACACATTTGTCCGTTCCACTTTTGTTGGGCCAGCCATGACTGGACCAGTTTGAAGCAGTTCCCAGCCCTGGAAGGACGGCGGGCACTATAGTGACTTAGTTTCCCTGATTTGTCTGAGACCTTCAGGGACCTGCTGCATCGGGGTCTCAAGGACCAGCTTCTCCTCCCCGGAAGTGACCAGTTTGACAGCGTCCTCTGTGGCCTGGTAACTGACGTGGATTTGGATGGGCGACTGGAAGTCCTGGTGGCTACCTATGGACAGGTGGGACCTGAGGAATGGGGCAGCCCCCTGCTCGTCCCCCCTGTTCCCACCACCCTGGGTGATGCCGGCCCCTTGCCCCTGCAGGAACTGCTCTGTTACAAGTACTGGGGCCCAGAGTCCAGGCTCCCCGAGGCTGAGTGTGGATTCCGCCTGTTGTGGCAGCGGAGTTTCTCCAGCCCGCTGCTGGCCATGGCCCACGTGGATCTGACCGGGGATGGGCTTCGGGAGCTCGCCGTGGTCTCCCTGAAGGGCGTGCACATCTTGCAGGTGACTCGGGGTCTCAGGTTGGGGCCCCAAGAGGAAGAGCCTGAGAGGAGGGTGTCCTGCATACCTCAACTTGATTGGGGCAGACAAGATGGGAACGGGGAGATGCCAAGCCACGATGTGGGGTCTGCAACGGTCTAGCCTCAGCCTGATCCCACAGGGAGCTTTAGAGCATGAATGGTACCACGGACCCTTGCTACCTTCGGGCAAAGGGGTCATACCCCTGTAGATGTCAGTCACTGGCTGTAGACACACCTTGGGGAGGGAGTCAATGCCCAGGTCTTCTTTCTCTCAGGAGAAGGGGAGCAGCTGTGAGTACTCAAAGCAGCAGGAGGGTGGGGACAGCAGCTGGAAGAGGCGGCTTAGATGCAGCATGTTACCCCCAGCCCCCACCCTACCCTCTGCCTCCCGAAAGCCCCCCTAGACACTGTCCTTCATTCCTCACATTTTCCTTAACTCTGTCCCTTCTGCTGTGGTCTAGCCTCAGATCCACCCACCGAGATCTAACCTCGGACCCTCTACTGCAGCCTAACTTTCATGCTCCATTGTCAGACGGTTACTTCCCCTTCTTAGCACAGCCAACCCTCTCCTGTGTGTCTTTAACCAACTTCACTGCAGCTGTGGTCTAACCTCCAACCTTCGTTGCGTTTCCTCCCACTGTTCCTCTACAGTCTGATTTCTTACCCTTCCCCCTCAGCGTAACCCCAGCCTGTCTTCTACAGCCAATTTCTAGCTCTCTGCTGTTGTCTAACCTTGAGCCCCTGCACTCTGGTCTGATCTCTGAGCTTTCTCTTGGGGTCAGACCCTTCAGCTGTGGTCTGGTCTCCAGCCCTCCGCTGCACTTGGACCTCTAGCCTTCCCTCCGCAGCATAACCACCATTATTCTTACAGTCTAAGGTCCAACCATTCCACTGTGGTCCAGCCTCGAACCCTCCACTGCGGTTTAACTTCCATCCCTTCTGCTGTGGTCTAACCTCTAACCCTGTTCACTACGGTGCAGCCCGCCACCTTTCAGGCTCTACTGTGTCTTCGTCACCACATCTTCGCCTCCTCCACGCCTTCTCCTTCCCTCTGGTCTGACTCAAGGATCCTTTTGGGTGTGGTCTAACCTGGGTTCTTTCTACTGGGGTCTGACTCTTGCTGCTTCCTCTACAGCCTTTGTTTGGGCCTTTTCTACAGTCTAGTCCCCAATGGAATGGTCAAGGTTGGTCCCCAGTAGAAAAGATAGAGGTCGGACCACATTGGGTGGGACCAAGGTTGGACCCAAGTAAAATGGAGTGAGGTTAGACCCGGTGGAAAGGACTGAGGTTAGACCCTAGTGGACAGAGAGGTGTGAGGTCAGACCTAACGGAAGGACACAGGTTAGACCCTAGTGGTGTGGTCTGAGGTTAGACCCTGATGGAAAGCACTGAGGTTCGATGGTACAGTTGAAGAGACTGTGGTCCCTGTGGGGGAAAGGACTTCCCTTTTACTGTGATTTAACCATTGTCTCTCATTACCTGTTTCGAGCCATTTCGCTGTGGTGTTTCCTAGGCCTCTTCTGTTAGGGTCTAACCTCAGACCCTCCAGCTCGGGTCAGACCGTCGCCCTTTTTTCCACTTTGGTTGCCCCTTCTCTGTTCTCGTGGCGTCACCTTTGTGTCTCCCACGGTGGTCTGACCTCGGCCTCTCTCCGGTGGCCCCCCTCGCTCCCACTGTAGGGTGATCGTGGGCACCCGTCTCCCTTCCACTGATGGCTGACCTCGGCCCTTTCCATTTGGGTGTGAGCTTATGTCCCCCACCCACACTGTGGATTCACGTAAGGCCACTCCTGGGGTCTAACCTTCATGCCTCTCCGATACCCACTTCCCCCACGCTCTGGGGTCTGCTCTCTGACCTCCCGTGGTGGCTCAGCCGCCCAGCCCTTGGGGGTGTCAAGCCGCCTGAGGCCCTCCTGCCCTGGTCTCAGCCCTGCTCCCCTCTTCCTCCTGTTGCCCACAGCACAGCCTAATCCAGGCCTCCGAGCTGGCGCTGACCCGCCTTCGGCACCAAGTGGAACAGAGGAGACGGCAGCAGCAGCAACAGGGGCTGGGGGGCAGGGCGGGTCCAGGAGCCACTGAGACCCCGCCCTCCTGAGCCCCCACACGCCCATCCTCCCAAGAGCAGGGGAGTGGCTCACCGTGGGGCCCACCCCCCAGCACTGGTGGGGAGGAACAGACTCTCTCCCCAGCCCTCCAACCCTGCTCCGGCTTTGCCCAAGATGTGTCACGTGACCTGCTGAACCGCTGCCTCGCAGTGCGCCTCAGTTTCCCCATTTGGAGACAGGGTTGTACTCACCCGACCCGCCTCCACCCGCAGTGAGAGTGGTCAGCTGTTTGTAGTCCAGAGGAACAAAGTTTTCACAATTGTCTATGGTCTTCTGTTCCGCAGGCGTTCTTTGAGCATTGCTGTGTGCCAGGCTCTCCCCTGGGGGCTGGATTTACCCTGAGGAATTGAAGGAAGGGGCGTTGGGGAGAGGGAATGCAAAGTTAGACCCAGGGACAGGACTGAGATTAGTAGATCCCTGGGTAACCTCAGAGAAAAGAAGTGAGGTTGGAGCCTAGAAGAAAGGTTGACCTTAAGCCACCGTGGGCTAGAGAGGGCTGAGGTTAGACCCCAGTGGAAAGGCCTGAACCCCAATGGACAGGGCTGAGGCTAGACCCTTGCAGGGAGGCTTGAAGGTAGACCCCAGTGGAAAAGGAAGACAGTTGGCATTCAGAGGAAGGGATACGGGTGAACAGAGCTGCGGTGGAGAAGCCGTAGTCAAGTCACGGCAGAGTCTGAGGCTGGAGCCCTGTGAGTGATGCTGAGGTTGGACCCCAGCAGAAATTACTGGCATCAGCCAAGGTTAAACCTCAGTGAACAGAGCCATGGTCAGACCCTAGTGGAAAGCCATTGAGTTTAGAGCCCAGTAGGAAGTACCAAGACTAGACCCAGGCAGACAAGATGTGAGATAAACCGTGCTAGAAAAGTCTAAGGTTAGACTTGATCTGAAACCCGCAGTAAGTGGAGGGCCAGGGAGCTGGAGACAAGCTGAGCTCGGTCGCTGTGGGTATTCCTGCCCCTGTGACCCCTTGCAGGCACCCAGAGGATTGGGGACTTGCCTCTCAGGGACCAAGGCATTGATGCTGGCAGCAGCCCAGCCCTGCCCCACTGCAGGCCAGGAATAGAATCCAGGTCAGGAGGGTTGGGGCGGAATTCCTGAACGGGTGTCCAGGCTAGGGTGGAAGGCAGGCTCCTCCCGGGGGCAGGGCTGGGTGGGACACCCTGGGGGGCAGGGAGGAGCAGGCACCACAGCCCTTCCAGCCATCCCTCTGCACCCTGCCTCGGAAGGCCCTCCATAAGTCTGACCCCTCGCATCGACAGTGAAGACACCAACCAGTTGCCTCCAGCTGGTTTTTTAGGAGAAGAGCCCACCCCTCCTTGGGCGCCCATCTTCATTCCTCTCCCCCTCCTGGCCCAGAATCGGGCCTGGGCGTGGGAAGGCTCCGGAGCTGGATCGGCTTCCCGCTCCCTCCCCGCCTGGCAGTGGGCCTGGGAGTGTGCAGCTAGGGCTGGCAGTGGGCACGAGCCAGCCTCCTGCCTGTGGCCTGCCCACCTGAGCAGACAGCCGCTGGGAAGCTCGCCTACAGCTTCCAGAGGGGGGACTCCCATCGCCTGAGCCCCAGATGGGGGTGAGTCCAGTGACCACGGGTCTGGGTGTGTGTGTCCCCTGGAGAGGCGAGAGGGAGTGTCCGCTTCAGTACCCCGAGTTTGTGTCTTCAGGACCCCCCGCCACCAGTGTCTTCTGCTGGCGCAGTGTGGATCCTGAGCGGAGTGAAGCCCAAAGCCACACTAAAAAACCGAACTCACTGCCATCGAGTGGATTCCGACTATAGCGACCCCCTTTGGGTTTCCCAGCCGGTAAATCTTACGGAAGTAGATTGCCCAGTTTTCCTTCCAGGAAGTGGCTGGTGGGTTTGAACCGCCAACCTGGTTAGCAGATGCCTTAGGCACCATGCCACCAGAGCTCCTTGTCTGGGTTCAAATCCTGCTCTTGCCATCGTGGGCAAGTCACTTCACCTCTCTGTGCCTCGGTTTCCCCATCTGTGTAAAAAAAAGAAAACGAACCTCACTGCTGTCCAATAGATTCTGACTCCTAGCGACCCTTCATTGGGTTTCTGAGGCTGTATCACTACAAAAGTAGATTGCCTAGTCTTCCTTCTGAAAAGTGGCTGGTGGGTTTGAACCGCCAGCCTTCTGGTTAGCAGTCAGATGCCTTAAATGTGACTCAAAATAGCACCTACCTCCCAGGGTGGCGGGCCCTAAGGGTTAATTGTGTCAACGGCACACCAAGCACTTAAAAAATGTAACACCTGCTGAAGCCACGTGCTAAGGGCTGTATGGGTGGCAGTCGTTGTTATTAATGGGCGCCTTCGGGGTTGTTTCTGACTTTCTGGGCGAGGTTCTGTCTGCAAGCACAGTGTGTGAATTTGGATCTGATTCGGGAGGAACATTCTCCCCCTTCCAATTCCGCGACCCTGTAACTATTTGCGGCTGCTTTTTGCGTCTCTTGGCCCTTGTAGGGATCTGAGACTCTGTGTGTGTGTATGTGTGTGTGCGCCTGTATCGTTCGCTCGCTCGCTCTCTTTCACACACACACTCACACACACACA